TTGTTAACTGGTGGTTTTCATCCTTGCTGTCTTCTAGTCTGAACAGAAGAGAAACAAGCAAGGTAGTAAACCAAAGTTTTTAAAATACTAAAGACATCAACATTTTCCATTTACAAACATCGCTGTTTTCCCCACATGAAAAGCTATCTCCCAACAACTTGTCAATAATAATAAAGACTATATAAATAAGCAAGTTGTATTTCTTTTTTTCAGGGAGATTTTTTTTTATAGAATTAAAAAGCACCATATGAAGATAACAGCTTTGTAGGAAAAAAAAACAAAAAACAGCTTTTTAAAAAATGTGGGCACTTCCACATATGTGCACACAAATGTTTCTCAAAAAGGTTTTGTACGACTACAGAACCAAAGTTCACTGAAGATGTCTAAAAATACTGGAGATTCACAAAGAAAATTGTTAAAGATCATGACAATTGGTTGACAGACTCAAGACTGGCTTGCATATTCCAAATATGGGATTATAAAAGTTTTCTAATATGTACATCGTAGTTATGACAAGTATGTTGGGAGAACAGGGTGCCTAATTCTGCCAATTAACCAACTGTCAAAAAAAAAATCAAACCATGATGGCTCAGCAAGCTAACCTCGAATCAGTCTCAGTTTCATGCTGTTCTGTGATCCGGCACGGTTCAACATCAACCCAGTGAACTTTCTTTCATATAATCAGAAAAGACCCATCCAACTTGGTTCAAAACATGTACATCTTCGCCTCAACGTTTTTTAACGTCTATAAAGACAAACTGCCATTTAGACTTTTAACTAATAACACGATACGAGTTCATTGTTCACTATATTAATTATAATCTTGCTTTTCACAGAAAACTAATAAGTTGATAGTCTACAAAAGAATGTTACTTTTAAATGTAGGAATTGTGACCACATAGCTACAACTCTTACCAGCATATTTACACATTTCAAATTTTAATGAAAAATGAATAAATTTCTATACAAACCTACAAATACTGATTTTGTTTATCAGAAAAACTCATTAAAAAAACTACCCAGTTATGTTGAGGAGTTGAGTCACCTTGTTGTAATAAAGCAAAATAGGAAGGCAAATATGGCTTTCACCATTCAGCTACAAAAACCGGGAAGTCTACATCACCTCTCTCTCACATGGTTTTATACATGTTTTACAACTTACAGGGTTGCAACTATTTTTTACTATTTTAGATTTTGTGGCAAAGCTGTAAATGTCATGAATTTCTATTTATAAACATCATCAAAACCAGGTGACAACAAAAAACCAATCAAGGGAAGCACTGACATCACAAAGGGCAACCAGCGCATACAATGGGAGTAGCCCCCAAAAAACAAGATGCGAAAAGGTGTTAACATACATATTTCAAAAGATTGTTGGATTACACAGTAAAGCAACAAATAAGTACAGCAAATAAGAAATATACATACTTAGGAAAATTGCACGTTAGTAATGTGTCTGTGAAACGACGCACAACATTTTTTTCAAAATGACCTTCAGAACTACATAAGCAGAATACAGACTAGCAATTGATTAAAGTACCTGCATCTGAGTCAGCCTGTCTTACCTAAAAGAGAAAAAACAGCTATCAGCTTGCAAGTCAAATTAGGACAGTCTTCGCTAAACTTCCAAAGTAGGCAAAACTCGTTCCAATTTGTAGAACTTTGAATCGGGAAAAAATTATAAATACAAAGAATGGATTGACTCTAGAAAAGTAACATGTGAGAACTGAAAAAACAAAACAAAAAAACCTTGCAGCAAAGACAGGTACAATTGGTTGGGTATGCAAGAGGCTCAGTGCTTGGAATGAGATGATTTAACACAAAAGCGGATAACCACCTGATATGGCCACAACATCGGTTTATAAAGTACTTAAATATGTGAAATCATGTGTAAAACACGATTTCATAAAATGAAGAGTAGTTCACAAATATTTGCTAGGACTCAAGTTTAGTTTGTTTATCAATAGTATAGCTCATTATGCAACAAGGAGGTCAAATCCAGATTGGATCATTATTGCTGAAAGAGCTATACAAGTCATTTAAAATGTAACAGCAGCTGTACTTTTTAAGTTACATTATTTCTACTGCAATGCATTAGAGCAACTAGGACCACATAGAAGTATTTTATTGTAGTCAGTTTGGGGTAAAAATTCACAGATATAAGGTCCCATCAATTTTATGCAAGTATAATACTGTTATGAAACTGCTCAAAGCTTCATTTGACAGGTTAAATACTTTAATAAGTGACTGCTTTAACTTTAAAAATTGCAGCATTCAACCAATCAATGACAAGTGTGAGGTCACCTGGTTGCACATTCAAGTTATTCAATCACAAGACATTATCCCCCTCATCTTTCTTGAAGTATGAAATCTATGTGATAGCTTTAAAATCTTTCTCC